CATTAGTGAGAGAGGATTGCAAACATTTTAAAATAATGGAAATTTTGACTGTATTTTGAAGCTAGTCATTTCATTTTTGAGAGTTATGCGAGTTATAAATCCGCTGCACTATATTGATTATACGCGGTTATTTTTCAAAGAGCAGCCAAATTTTATATTTAACTTCAAATATATAAATAATGATATACCGCTACTACACTTTTTAAAACTACGAGTAAATAAAGCTTATACTTTTATTTTAAATTATCCCAAATTGAATGTGATTTATGGGCAACAACGTTTTTGTCTATCGAACGATCCTAATGAATGTGTACGTGTACGTGCGCAGTAAAATCAGTTAAAAAATCCATTACCACACATTTTGAATTTAAAAGATAAAAAGGACAGAACATTTGAGACTTTCTGAAATTAATTTTTTTGCCTAATTTGCCTATATTACTTATTCTGAACCTTATCTGCAAATTTGGCCGGTTATTGGCTAGATAGTCCTGTATTAATATTACTTTAAAATCTTGACGATAATTTTTTTAAGCGCTTAAATATTTATTATATCTAATAGTTCCCAATAGCAACTAGCCAGGAATTGATTTTACTTGTAAAACAACCGTAACATGTTTGTTTATGATATTTATAATTGTAAAAGTAAAGTACAATATATAATATACTTCACACTGTTGAGAGACAGACCTCACATTTTCGAAAGTCCGCCGCGCTGCTTCAGTGCCCCTTGGTCACCTTGATATGTTTTTTAAAAATATTTTTATTTTTCAGACATCTAGCTATTCTTACGATGTTTTCCTTTATCGCCGAGTATGTGGCAAGTCAGTATCTATTTAAAATTGCAATTTACAACTCCATTTGTGCCGGCGGAGATCGAATTCGGTTTGCTCACGTACTGTGTAATTTCCAGCGAGCGCTTAGCACCTGAGCTACCACGACTAATTATATATTGAACGACACAGTGTTGCCATTGCTAAGGCAATTGCTTATTCTACGGGACTTGTGTAAATATTTCAAAAATACCGTGGTCTATGGTAGCATCTTCAATGTCGTAGTAGAATCTTTGGCAATTTACTAACATGTCTAATGATAAGGTTTTTATTAATCTATAGGACGAAAATATCAATTTAAAATCTAAAGACGACGGCGTGGAGTTTTTCTAACAAAACTCTCGAGAAACTTTGTTTTTAAACACATCTTGGTCTCATTTATTTTCAATTCCATGCTACAGCTATCGAAAGGCGTATGTTCTTTTTTTTGTAACACGGCAATTATGCTCACCGAACGGGAAGATTCTAAATTTGACTCTGACAACACTGGTACGAGACGTCAAACTGAAAGTTATAATTTGCTAAGTGTCTGTTTTTCTTTTAAGCAATCATTCTCATGTCGCGTTAAGACTTATTTATGCGTATATGCTTTAGAACTAATTGACTAATAGTTTGCACGGAAAAAAGTTTCATCAGCGGCAGCCTCACAAGGAGGATGTACGACCTGATGAGGCATGTAGCTACAACCTTTCTTTTTTAAATAGAATAAGGGTGAAAAATAAGTACACAGTCTACCTAATAGTAAGTGGACGCTGTGGCCCATAGGCATTCAGATTTATCCTCAATTAAAAATTAAAATGCAGATGCGTTGTCACCCCTGAGTACTAAATTGGAATGCCTCGTTTCAAGTAAAAAGTGTGTATTTTTTCTTCTTTTTCCATATTGGTTATAGATTTTTGAGGCAATTTTTTTTAAATATTTAGGTAATGTTTTACTTTTCAAGTATAACATGACGGGTTTCTTATGCTCAAATACTCAATCGCTAACATCTAAGTAAAAGTGATAATAACACTATGAGACTAATAGACATCTTAAAATTGAGCAGCGTTTACAATTTTCATAATGAGGAAAATTCTATTTTTACTAAAAGTCTAAAGAAAAAAATAAAGAATATCGTCCAATTAGGTATTAATATTATGAATAGCCAAAGCAAAGGATTTTATGTATACTATACTGAACGAATTCCACAACGTGATGTTCCAACTATGCGAACAATTAGAAACACTTAAGTGTAAGCAACAAGCCCAGACAAGGCAGTCGTGCGGCTGCTAAGATCGTGACTGCGAGCCGAGAGACGTGACCTCGCATTTATTGTAAACACACTCCACGACACGTAGCCTCTCTCCCAAATAGCAAGTAACTTTTTTAATCCCTTAATGATGACAAACGAACACATTTTATTTGATGGTAACGTGGTAAGGCTAACTATATTAGTTGTGGCTTAAACGGAATAGGACTACGCTCTCAAAGAATAAAAGTAAATAGCAGCTTGATTCCGCTGCGTTTCGCATGGTGAGTGTAGACAATCGAAAATCTCTTTTACTGGGCGAGGCATTCCATCGTAGTTCTCATGGGTTGACAACTCATTTGTATTTTGACTCTTAATCGAGGATAAATATAGATGTCTATGGGCCACAGCATCCATTTACCATTAAGTGGACTGTGTGCTCGTCTGTTTTCCGTATACGAAGTAGATATTGTGGCCCATAGACATCAACTATTCCTGATTAAAAATTAAAATGCAGATGCATAGCGTGGCGGATATATCCTTGCCCTGAAAAGCTCTCCGAAAAAAGACGAGGACTGTACCCAGTGGTGGGACTAATATAGTCTATTGCTATTTTTTAATTTAAAGATAAATTTAAATCTCACCTAGACTACTAGGACAGAAAGAAAGCGCGAGAAAATTAATTTTTAACATTTAGATATATTATTTTATTCTGCGAGACTGCGAAAACTAAGGCAGGCATAAACTTGATAAATGTAAAATTATTAATATATAAATAAAACAAGCTTATAGATTAAAACATTAATTGAAAAACAAGACTGCGTAAAAATTTGTTCTAAATAGAGAATTTTTTTACCCATGTCACAAGTTAAGATCAAAATCCATCGAGCCCTGTAAGCTACAAAGCGTGCCAAAGAAATTAAACATGCATACATACTCTCGAAAAACATTACTCTCTTTCTGGTACAGTGAGTTAAAAAAACACATTATAGTTATCATTAAAGTAAAAATATTTTAATCTGAATTTAATAGAAAATACTTCGCGCTTTCTATTCTAATTCGATCCACAATGTCTAAGCATTACAATATGAAAAAATTCCTAGCTTGTATATGCTCATAATAAGCTTCGCTATCTCGGTTGTCTACGTACTTTGTTTTCCATTCTTTTAAGTCTTTGAATCACTGCATAATAATTAGGCTTTGTTACCATTACCACTGCATTTTACTGGCTTCTTAGTTATTTTTTTGCGTTCATTGAAGGGAAGAGACTCGTTGTCTTAGCTTTTCGTATTTTTTGTAGTTCCGAGTGGAACTAATTTTACAATAGTTTTTTAAATATTATTTTACAGGCAACCTATTTGTACGTTAAAGATACAAATAAGCTGCCGGTTTTCTTAATGGTTCATCTCAGGGTAGGAGTATTTCAGAAACTGAAGTAAAACAAAACGTAGTTACCATGGACATTATTTCTTGTCCTCAGTCTTGAATATTGAACGAAAATGTTGTTGTTTATTCAAATGGTACAAAAGATGATAATAACGAGTAACATAATCAATGTTTCTAAAGAATAACTTACTGAACTGTATAATCATTACCTCTGCTCTAGATTTAAGAATATCTTTCATAAAAAATATATAAACCAACATAAGCAAACGACTTTGTTGCGGAGCAGGAAATCACAGCGAGTCGCCCTATGTTATTTGCATCAGTTAGTAAGATGCCGTAATTACACTTTGATTGACTTTCACCGGCGTAGTGTATCGGAAACGTCTCTCCCGCATTTGTTGTGTGTCTGTGTAGGGGTGCCACAAGGAACTCACTTGGGACCTTTTCTTTATATAACTTACATTAGCGAGAAAATTTTATCTATGTATGAAGGATTTTTATTATGTGCTTAGACAGTTTGACTTAAATTTTCTTACTTTCTCCTTTCTTGATCACCTTGTAAGTGTCCACTGCTGAACATAAGCCTACTCCATTGAAGGGACAATCTGTTTTAATGTCAAATGCCCCGCACTTTTGACGCTACTGCCTATCGACAGTTTGGGTGTTTTACGTCTGACGTAAACGAGTTGGTTATACCGCCATATATCGGAAGCTATAAGATATAAGAAACTCACTTGGGACCTTTACTTTATATAACTTACATTAAGCAAATAAATTTTATCTATGGTGTAGTAAAATGGATTTTTACTATGCGCTTCTAATCATCAATATTGAAGTGTCTATCAGTAATATTGAAGGAAATGGCTTCCATTAAGCTGTAATTTGCGTCGTATTAACAAGGAGGAATCTAGGCTATGTTTTATCCGAAAAAGTGAAGACTGTTTTGTTGCGAAAACGAAACATTAATAAAATAAGGGGTCTTTGATTATCTCAAATCTGTATAATGCTACATTAATATATCGTATGTAGGTGAAGCCGGGGCGAATCACTAGTCTTTAGTAGAGAGAATTTGTCGTAATCACCGCTCTTAGCAGATGCATTAGCGATCAATATCTACAGGTAATATAAGTCGTTGATTAAGCGTGGGGTCCATATGCGGTATTATCGATAAAACTCACATGATGTACCGAAGACCTTTTTGAACAATTATAATTTCATAATTATTGGGTATAGATAGAAGTTTGCCCGCCCGCGACTCCAGACTGTTACAATCATATCTCTCAGACATATGTACTATGTGGATAATATCACGAAATTATGCTGAGTGTTATTCCTTCATAACAAACCCGTACACATAATAAAGCTTACGACTGAATTGTTTCCATTTTATTTAGCTATTAGTTTTTTTTAGTTCTTTAGTTATAGGTTGTTTAGTCTATAAAAGCTTTAAGAACATGTGTGTTGGTGTTTGTTGTAATAAATACGTTTCTTTCTTTCTTATGTATGTAATTACTCTAAGGTCATATGTAAAGAATTGATTGATAATGACCACTTACCCTGTTTGACGGAGACGTATTTGTCATTGAGTGCAGCGACAAAGGCGGCTTGCGGCAAGCTGTCCTCCAGTGAGAAGAGCTCGTCACGTGTAACGTTCGTGGAGCGCGTCTTCAGCACGGCCTTGGAGCCGATGGGCGCGAGATACGCACCGCTGGCGTCCCGTAAGGCCAACGCACCGGAGTGGTACTCCGCGCTGAAGAGACACTCCGACGTGCAAGTGTCCAGCAACTGGTGGAAAAGATGCGATTTCAATGAGAGCTAATAAACTTCACCACTTCACTTCACCAGATGTCGCTAGTAGGTACTGAGGTGAAGTTTTTTGTTATACAATGTTATATAATTTTTATCGGTTTCTAGAGTTAGCTAAATACACATTATAGGTGAGCCCCGCTGCAGCTATAATATTATGGTTGGGGCATGAATGGGTCGGCTCGGCCGGGGCAGGATCACGCTTTCACAGAATACCCGCGTGAAGGTTTCGTTTGGGTGAATGTATAGAACCTATGACCCTTTTTACTGGAAACGAGGCATTCCATCTTAGTTGTCAGGGATGACAACGCATTTTGATTCTTAATCGCAGATAAATAGATGTACCACAACATCCGCTCACCATTCTATAAAAAAGATAAGTTACTGTTTATGTGTTGCTACTTCTTAAGCTCAGTAGTTCATTTAATAGTATTCGTTGCGCTCCACTGTGCATTAAAACAACGCCTACTGTGGGAATGGTGCTCCACAGATATACAATTGAAACGTTTTGTGCGTACCTAGCTCTCATGCGTTATCTATAGAAATTATTGTCTTATAAACTCGTTAAACGTTATTTTCATCATTAGCAGTATGTACCGATACAAAGTTTGTGCTTCAAACTGTATTATGGAGTAAGTCACAAACTGACTGTGATTCACTCAGAATCAACAAATAAAGAAAAACGGAGCTATGCGTACAAAAACCAAGTTAAAATCGTGCTCAACTTATTGTAAGAACACAGTGCCATAGGCTTCTATTCCATTCACCTGTCACACTCTATTTTTTCCAGACGGTAAAAAAGGTCATCTAGTATATGCATCTAATATAATTTTCAACCAACAACATTGTTTAAGGTAGACATTCATCCACACTTACAGGCTTACTTAGCAGTGAACTAAAGTCCAGCGTGAGTGCGTCAAGAAGTTGAGCAAGGTTTTCATTTCAAATTTATTTATTTCAAATGTACGAAATGCACCGTACGTCTTTCAATGTTGGAATGAGGTGATTTTAAAACAATTAGAAATAATGTATTTTTTGGCTGAATTTGACCAAACACGATATCCAAAATAAACACTATTTCTCAACTGCTAATGCCAGTAAATGTACACAGCTTAATGCTGCTATGTTTCGCGTGGCGATTGTAGAAAGCCGAAGGCACTTTTTACTTGTAAAGACTCATTTAAGATTAGTCCAAAGGTTCTTAATTGAGGATAAATGTAGACGTCTACAGACCACAGCATTCGCTTACCATTAGATGGATTGTGTGCTAGTTCCTCTAATCAAAGTTTGTCACTATTATTCCATAAAAAACTTCAGCGCATTCAATGTAACAATGTCTAATATAACTGACACTAACAGAATAAAATCCATATTACATACATTCAGACCTGCAGACTACTGTTTTGTGCTCGTACACTAATATTGCTTTTGGCTTAATAGACAAAGATGTATAATCCCAGTGCTCAGACAGTTTGACTTAAACTATCTTACTTTATTATTTTTTATCACCTCGAAAGTATCCACTGCTTAACATAGGCCTATCTGTTGAAATGAGAGTCTGCTTGACATTAATTAAATGTCTCGTACTTCTTTTGACACTACTGTCCATCGCCAGTCTGGATGTTTTACTTCTGCGGTATTACCATATCGTAAACGATATGGTAATACCGCCATTTAGTGGAAACTATAGGAAGCTATAGGATTTTTGAGGAAACAACCATAGTCAGCTCTTTCGACACCCACGAGACGAAATAGTGTGATTATATTGTGTGATTGTAAAGCTTGAATTACTTTCAATAAGTATTATTGTAATCTATATTGAATATATACAATTGCATTCTAATCTATATTACTATTTAATTCTTCTCAGTAGAGAAGTATTTTCAGAACCGACGGTAAATAAAAAATGAATTTCAACAGTTATACATTCTTTGTGTCTATTATTTTTTCAAAATCTTTGCAAAATGAGGACAATGCAAACGTAACCAACATTTTTTATAAAAAATACAATGCAAAATCGCTTCAATACCTAAACCGCATTCTCGCTAAACAAAAGCAGTGCTAAAGGCAAAATTTCGGAAAAAGCAAGAGACATTTCTAAATCCAACATAATTCCTCAAAGCGTCAAAGAGCTTTGTGGATTAAAAGTTTTGCTTTTAGCACGGCGCGGCTGGCATAGACGTGTGCCTTTTCCAGAAAATGTTTTCAAAGTAGGAACTGTCGACTTTTCTTTTCATGATGATGTGTTTTGTATCTATAATAGGCATTCTTAATGACTATTATTTAAATAATTTGTATAGCGTGTGGTAGCGGTGATGAAAAGAATGTCCACTACCGCATATAGTCTCGTGGACGCGATAGACAAAACAAACCAGGAGAATGGCAGCAACGTTGTTCTGCCAAGTGTGGCAATTATAGCAAATGTTTGCCCTATGAGGCAATCTATGGGGAAGGCCTATGTTCAGCAGTAGACGTTTATAGTCTGTAGCGGGCTATAGCGTCATGCCCGTAATCACCTTACAGAGGGTTGTCAGTCGAGAAGTGAGTTATTATATAGACTGTTCAAGCTACTCGAACATTTTAATTGATATTACGTGAAAATTCATAAGCGTAGTAACGCGTCGAGTTTTATAAACTGAAAAAATTTCAAAAAGGAAGAGGTTCTCAAATAGAGTGTATGTTGTTTGTTTTTAATACGATTATTATCCACGTAACTCTCCATGGAGTCGGTCGTTGTCATTTTATTTATCATTTATTATTATCAATCATCATCACAGCTCTTCACAAGTCGACTGCTGAACATAGGCCCAAAGTAAGGCCACAAAGCACGGTCCTGAGCCACTCGCATCCATCGATTTCTTGCATGTCTTACCAGGTCTTCACTCCATCTAGTGGGGTGTCGCCCAGTCGCCCTACACTACGCCTACCGGTACGAGGCTGCCAATCGAGAATCTTTTTGCCCCATTGGTTGTCAGTTCTTCAAGCTATATGGCCGGCTCACTGCCACTTCAGCTTACTAATCCGTTGGGCTATATCATCTTAAATTATAATTTTAAATAATAAATGTGTAGACAACTCAAACATAGACCAAGTTTAGGCAAAAAGTATGGTTAAAAATGGAAAATTGTGCGACGTGATAAGTTGTTAGCCCGGTGCTTACACAATCACAAGCAAATATCCCATTAGTCACCTTTTATGACTTGCTAGGCAAGTGACACAGTTGGCACCCTCTGTTAAAGTCACACATAAGCATGGCACCTGCAAGTCTTTTGTAGGATTAGGAAATTAGGATTTTCTCCTGTATCGTGGAGGCAGTTTACAAACATAAATTCCACAAGGACAAACACCCGGACCAAGAACAATCATTTGTAGGCCATACAAATTCTGCGGGATTCGAACCCGTCAACTATAAGTCAACTATCAATATGGGACAACTTAAATCATTTTAGTAATCATCAAATAAATATTTGTGGAAAAATTAAACGATAAAATAGCTCATCACATGAATGAATAGTGATAAAGCTTTTTTCATCAAAACGGAGACTAGCCATCTGCGCGGGACAGTATTATAGTGCCCGAGTGCATGCGAAAGCACAGGCGCACTCTCTATTCCTTTTCCCATTGGATACCAATCCGAAAGGATCGTAGCGAGGTCAAGCGCCGGACCAACTGCTATACGTGCTTTCCGAGGCACGGGGGTGAATTTCCCGATTCTGAGCTGCTATTGAGAATTTCTTGACAAAAAATACAACAACTGATTTTCACCCGACTCGGCATTGATAATGACCCTTTTATAGGCATTCTATCTTAGTCCTCAGGAGCGTCCTGTTTTTCTCATTTAGATTTACATCAAGGTTACTATAACGTTAGCTTAGTAGACCCAGACAGTCGAAAGTACACTGCTTTTTGTTCGAGACCGTTTCAGATGACTAGGATTCTCACAGAATACCAGCGTGAAATAGTAGCTTAATGCTGTGTATTTTATGGTGAGTGTAGGAAGGACCTTAGAGGATTTTGATTTTGTGGTTTTTTGTCCTTTAAGATCCTACGGGCTTAAAGACCAGCCCTAGTTTCTTTTCTCGTATGATGACTATGGCGATGACAGGGTTAACTTACGATAAGCGCCTATTTTATCAAGATGATTTAGTTTGTTTCAGTGGGGATTGGAACGGTCATATAAAAAAATTACAATCTACTTTAGAAATGTTATGTTAAGTAAATCTAAAGCTAAATCCTAAAAGGTGTATTTTCCTATAGAAGGAACTACTTTATTTGGGTCATATTGTGTCACCAGGGAGGATCATACCCGATTCCGATAAAATAGAGGTTCTGATAAAAGTATCTGCATTTTGACTCTTAATCGAGGATAGACGTAGATATCTATATATCACGGCACCCAATTTTATAAATAAATGTATAGTGAATAGAAATGATCAAAGTAGGCCAGCTTACGTATATTTAAAACTGCAGATCATGCCGCATCATCATAACAATATCCGTACTTAAATCCAACACCGCTTTTTGCTTACCATTCGCTTTTTTAAGAATGCGGTAGCTGACATTAATAACTTGGAAAATTTGCCTATAATCACCACGTTAGGCACAATACACACAATTTGTAGAAAATTATTTTTACTTCTTCCAAAACATGGCTTGTAAATGCAATAGAATTATTCTAAGCCAATCACAACAATGCTAGAGCCATTATAGCTCAGGTGCTAAGCGCTCGCTGTAATTTTCAAAGTACACAAGCAATCCGGGTACAGTCCCCGTCGGCACCAATGAAATTGTTAATTTTATGTGCTGATTTAACACGTGCTTAGCGGTGAAGGAAAACATCAAAAATAATTACGAACACATGTCAAGTCTGCCAACACGCCCAGTCTTAAAATCCCCCCAAAATGAGAGGCCTGTGCAAAGCGGACGTAAATATATAGGTAGTAACTTTACATTATTTTATTTTGATCAAAACACAACATTGACGGCTCCGTGTCCCAGTAGCTTAGCAATGAGTTGCTGCGCTAAGTGACGTGGGTTCAATCACGTATGGTCTTTAATACCGATGGTTCGAATATGAATACGTAGACGACGTATCCTTATCATGCAACTGTATACATTTGCAAATATTCTCATGAGAAAACTATTTAATAATCATACGATGTCGTGTTTTAAGGAAATGTGCAATTTAGACAATAGTTACGTGTTACAAGCATACAAAATTAATTAACAAGTACTGATCTACATGTTATGTTCTACATATAATTGTTCCGGGTCTGGATGTTTTTCCTTGTGAAATTTGTATATGTAAACTGATATGATACAGAAGAAAATCTTAGTTCGGAGGTAACGTTTTACCAATAAAAAAGAAAGTATCAAAATAAAATTCACGTTAAAATTTAGTAGCTCGCTAAAAGGCTCGCATTTGCACGGCGCTAGTTATGAACCGCGCAACAGCCATTGTTTGATAAACACACGCGCGACGATAAACTGACAGTGCTTATAACAATATGTCCTGCAGACTGTTCAGTGTTATTGGGAAAACTTTACCAAAATGTGATGTTTGTGTCGTCGGCAGATTGTACGAGTCACTATACAAACGGAATGGTCTAATTGCAAACGCTGGCTGGCTTGAGAAAATCCGAAGGCAAATTTATATTATGTCGTCGATCGTAGAAATGGGTAGAATGATGTGCTTTCATGATATATGTACAAGGCTTACAATATTAAAAGGGTAGTCTAAAAATAAAAGAGAAATATTTGTAGTGTATGTCGAATAACGTGGTTATTATGGTTAGCTGATGTGGCAATTTTGTTTATACAATAATGGTGACAAACGAGCACACAGTCTACCTGATGGTAAGTGGACGCTGTAGCCCATAGACATCTACATTTAGAATCAAAATGTAGATGCATTGTCACTCCTGAGGACTGAGACGGAATGCGTTTACGGTAAAAAGGGTCTACGGTTCTCTACACTCACCATACTAAACACAGCAGGTTAAGTTGCTAATTTGCGCTGGTATTCTGTGAGAGCGTGGTCCTACCCCGGTCGAGCCGACTCATTCGTGCTGCAACCACAATATAGTTGCAGCATGGCTCTACCACGTAAATATAGCTGCAGCATGGCTCACCCTAGATTAAGGATCTTAATGTAGATATGTTACCACATTTGTGGTCTAAGTGACAAATTAACTTAATAGTCGACCTGATGGTAAGTAGCTACTGTAGCCAATGGACACCTCCAACAAACTTCAACATAGAAGGTTACAGACATGCATCCTCTGAGGACTAAGATGGAGCCTTATAGCCTGCACTTACTGGCTCTCTTTGCGTACTTGTTGTCTTAAGACCGCAACAGCAGTGTACGCACACAAAATAGGTAAGATTGTGATACTTATCCATACGGACAAAGGAAAGAAAGAGATAAGGCAGACACTCAATATACGAAACACAGAAGTATCAAGCTCTTCTAGACTAGTTTTGCACTGCTATTCTGTGAGAGCGTGTTCCTACCCCGATCGAGCCGACCCATTCGTGTTACAAACACAATATACCTGCAGCATGGCTCAATCAAGTATAAAAATTTGTCAAATATTCAAGTCTTAACTGTAAAAGGCACAAAAACGTTTAATAGAGATGAAAAGTGATCAAAAAGAGATTGATCATACTAAAAAAATTCTACCTTTAAATGAATCTATGGGACTCATTCACATTTATTGCTTATTTTACCCGTGACTGTCTCATTGGTCTAGTGGTTGTAGTGGCGCGACTACTGATCATGAGGTCCTGGGTTCGAATCCTGGGTCGGGCGAAAAAAATTAATTATTGAGTTTTTCCGTCAAGAAATTCTCAATAGTTGCCGGAGTCAGGAAGTTGGCGGTATATCACCCCCGTGCTTCGGAAGGCACGTAAAGCTGTTGGTTCTGCGCCTGATCTCCCTCCGGTCGTATCGGTTTACCGTCCCATCGGAATATGAGAGTGATGGAATAGAGAGTGCACCTGTGCTTGCGCATACACTTGGGCACTATAATCCTGTCCTGCTCCGATGGCTAGTCTCCGTTGAGTCAGGCCGCCGTGGCCGAAATTCGGTCTGAAGGATTATTATTATTATTATTATTATTATTTATTTTTCCCATACGAAACTAAGGAAAGAATTTTTTTTATAGGAGAGGGGCAAACGAGCATGCGGCTCACCTGATGGAAAGTGACTACCGCCGCCCATGATCAACCGCAACACCAGGAGAATTGCAGGTGCGTTGCCGGCCATTCTTGATTGTTCCTAAGTCGTATCGGTCCGGAAAAATCGGCGCTGCCAAACTATTCCACAGAGGGATCGTTAGAGGAAGAATACTCCCTAGTAAAACGTACAATGGTGGACCGCCAAGTATCCAGATGGTGTGGGTGGTTTTGTCGCGCTATGCGTTTGTGAAATTTGGTAGCTGGAATTAATCCGAATAATTTCTCAGGGCAACCCCTTGATAGATGTGATAGAAAATGCAAAGGGATGAAACATCGCTTCGCAGCACTAGTGTATCGAGCCGATCGGAGAGGACTCGGTCATCGACGATTCGAATCGCTCTGCGCTGAATGCCGTCAAGTGGAAGAAAAACCTGGCACTGGGGAGCCACGGGCCAGAGATGGGAACAATATTCCATTTCCATGCGCGGGCGAACCTGCGCCTTGTAAAGTTGCTGGCATGGAATACTATCCCGCTCTGCTGAGCACGTCAAACTTTTTATAGGCCAATTTGGTTCTTCTTTTCCAGGTGACCACGAAACTGCACATCCTTCGATATGTCGACACTGATGATTCCGATACTGGCTGAGGCAACGAGGGGAGTGCCTCGAAACTGAGGAGATACGACAAAAGGGGTTCTTTTTAACGGTAATCGCGCAAAATTGTGTCTTCTGGTGATTGAATTGGACTAGACTGGACTTTAGTCACCCCTAGCCCGAGACTTTGTTCAACAATGTCTCGACTTCAGACAAAAATTTGTCACGGTACTCGACGACGTTTTACCGATAAATGTTGGCACGGCCGGTGTATAGCGCATCACCAGTGATTAGATGAATCAGGCGTTACTTTGCGGATATCTAAGGAAATAATAATATAACACAACATTAACATCCTTATACTACCTTCTTTCGCCATGAAAGCACTAAGTACCTAGTTGTAATTGAAAAGAATTAACTATAATTTATTGCGTTTAATATCGCGGCAAATAAACTTTTTTACTGGAACTAACCTTTCCACCGGCGCTGAGGTACTTGTTGTTGCAGGTATGCAAGGCGTATTTTCCGCCTTCGTCTGCTCGGAACTCCAGCGTGAACAGCGTGTCCTCGCCCCACGGCACGTTGGCGTCCACGTGGATCTCGTCCAATGACTCCGAGAGGTGGGCGAAGCGTTTGCGTCCGATTGAACGAAGATTAACCTAGGGAACAGTAATGGGTCACAAAATATTCCTTTTATACGCTCTTACAATGATGGTGCTAAGATTTTGAGATTGAATGAGGAAGTATAGCATTATTTACTATTTCAAACCAGCGCTTTACTACTATCCCACCTCATGGTAAGTGGTAATGCAGTCAAAGATGTTGAAGCGCACTGACTTAAAAAAAGCATTTAAAAATGTATGTACACACACACAATAAATAGAAATGCAAACGGCTACATAATATAAGTTAACTACGAGTACATTTAAATGTTTAACATAATGTTTTTTAAAATTTAAATTAAAATTACTCCTTAGCGTGTCGATGCCATCTAATAATAACTAAGAATATCAATAAATTAAGGCTTTCATCATCTAAGGAATACCACAAATCAGAATTCGTAGTTTACTTCGATGAAATTGATAATATCAAATGTGAAATAGTTAAAATTGCTAAGATGAGTTTCGTATATTTAAATTTTTAAGTGTATCTTACGCAAGTCACTCAGGTCTTTTCCCATGTTTCCTATAACTGACACCTTGTTACAGTGCAATTATACTGGTTACAATATAAATTGCGAAAGAATATAATATTTGATTATTAACTGTTAAATATTCGTGTCTAAAGAAAGAAAAGTGCCTAATTGAATATAAACTTTTCTAAAACACTTTTCAGTCTTATAACGTTGGTCTTTGACTAATTTAATTTAATCTACGAGAAAAGGGAAGCTGTGTACAGCGGCATGCGTCGACGAATCGACACCAGACGGTATCGAACGCTTTTTTTGAAAACGTCTAGAGCACAGACGGAAGCTTCCGAATGGATCTTTGTTTTAAGCATTGCTCCGTCTATCCTTTGTCGCCGAGAATTGGAAATTTGGTCCAACACTTTTATTTTAACATACAAATACTATTATTTATAGAATTGTTGCCTTATGGTATTAGAGAATTCATCAGTCGGTTTTTTCCAGTAGGTGTCGTAAGGGGCGACTATAGAAAACACCAGAAAGATCTCCCACAGACATATGCAGTATAAACATGTTGTCTTGTTCGAGCTATACGTACAGAACCCAAAATTGTGACGGGAGAAGCGTCACGGGTGGAAGTATCTTGAACTGTGATGGCCGATCCACCTGCTAAATGTGGCGATTACAGCAAACCTAAGGATCCATAACCAAGTCCAAACGGTCCCTGATAGATACCATAAAAATCTCAAGGAACCAACCCATATCTAACCCCATCTAGACAAAAGACAGTGCAAGCTCAAGCAGTCAATCCCACCTGTGGTCTAGCGGCGAGGTGCACGTGCCACAGCTCCGCGTCGCCTGGCACCTTGGCGGTGCAGGTGAGCTTGTCCGAGCTGGAGCCCAGGAAATAGCCACGCTCCACGTTACGCAGAGCCCATCGCCCAGTGCCGTCTTCAGAAACGCTGCAGAACAAGTTTTCGGTGAGCCATATTTTTTATGTTTCATTTTATAGAATAAGGTGCGACAAAACTTACGTAGAAGTATAGAATATTTTTGTAAAAAGGTTTTTTCCTACAAGGATATGTCCAGACATATCGTGCCATACCTTGTTTCTGTTACACAATTCATATAATAATCGTAAGTTCATAAGTATTTAGTAAGAGGGAATCAATGTGATAGGAATTAGAAATTAATGACTCTGCCATCTCCGAGTGTGGGTGCGAAAGTATGCTTAAAAACCAACATCTTATGAATGCTTGGCATTGTGAAATTGTTTATCGACGGCAATTTTACCGAACCTATACGATTTAGAGACCTTCAAGAAACGAGTTTACTCATTTTTAAAAGGCCGCACCTGCAATTCCCTTAGTGTTGCAGTTGTACATGAGCAGTGGTCGACACTTACCATCAGAGGAGCAGCATGCTCGTTTGCTTTCTCTTCTATAAAAAATATCAATGACAAACGAGCACACAATCCACGTGATTGTGAGAAGATACTATGGCCCATAGACTTCTACATTTGTCCTCGATCAACATTCAAAATGCACATCCGTTATCACCTCTGAGGACTAAGATGAAATGCTTCATTTCCAGTGAAAAGAGCATCCAGTTCTCTACATTCACCAAATGAAACGCAGTAGCACTAAGCTGTTATTTTACGCTGATATTCTGTGTGAAGAGATTTAAAAATTATTGACACCACAACTAATGAATTACTACATAACTTAAATTTTCTATTTTTAGTACTCCCATAAAACAAGGTCGACTTTCCATTTTAATTTAAATTAGATTTATCTTTAAAATATACATATAAAATAATTTTTTGTCTATAAAACTTTGAATTATTGAATATTCATAATCGCTCGCTAGATTAGAGAGTTATATAGTGTTCTGTATTTATAAGAATAATTTGAATATAAAATAAAAACTCCTCACACTATATTCTCAGCTCAGCCGGACACCGTGTAAGTGAACTAAGCCGTAAGTCTTGGGCTGAGGTCTACCAACTGTACTTTGACTTTGCTCAGACTTTACTTACGAAAAACTTAGCTGAGTAAATCTTTGATCCAAAATTTATAGTTGTATCGGGCTTAGATTTAGCTTATAAATAATTATATTATAGAAAATAATTATATTTAAAAACTGAATAAAATCCAAATTGTATTTCACTTATAAGTTATTATTACATGTAACTTTAAATGTAATTATAACTTATGAGTTATTATTACATGTAACTTTACATGTAATTTTTATTTAAAATATGAAAAAGAAACGGAACGTTTGGTCAGCCTGTCAAGCACTGTCAAATAATTGTTCAAACGTGAAGCTTTTGGTTTATTAAGTTTTAATTTATATTTTTAATGCCTGATCTCTTTACGACTGGCTTTGGAACTTGGATTCCCAATCTTGCCAATATACTTAATGAACCTATGCTTCTGGAATTTGGACCGGACGTTTTTTTTTTTTGCTTTTCTGTAACTCAGTTATCACTATTGTGATATAATGGAGAATATAGAGAGAGTTCTATCTATTTTAGAAATTTTAATTATAATATAAAAATATATGGTTAAAATTGTTTTTTTTTTCTGTATTTCGACGGTTGTGGAAGGTAACGAATGAGAAGGGTGCAAAATTCACAAAGAAAATAGATCTTAAGAAATTCGAAATTAATTTGAAATAACGTAAATAAAAAATGGATTAATGCTACTTAAAACTAAAAGTTCTAAACAATTTAAAATTAATACGGTGGTTTTGATTAATATCCTGAGTTATTCCTAAGTCGTTGATTTCCTTGAACTAGACTTTGCTAAACGCACACTCGGCACGACTTCGAAGTTAGCTCTATAAATACCGACATTGTCTTAGCTCGAAAGTAAAGTCTGAGCAAAATCAAGGTATAGTCTATAGATCTCAGCCTTAGATTCAAATCCCAGCTAATTAAAATTGCGTACAACACAAAAATATATGGTTAGTTTGGGGTATGGATCTATGGATTGACTGACCTCAAAGTAAGACTACCGGAACTCTGGGTTAACTTTAAGAGGATATAGTAAGTCAGCCCAAATTCTAATTACGCACCCACTTCCCCGCGCGTCGTATGCTAGGTACCAACATGTTTGTAATCACTAATACTGTAAGTAGATAGGTCGTTTGATACTTATTTCATTAGGCTTATCATATTTATGCCTTTTTCTTAACGCCAAGCCAGCCGCTTCTTTTTTTTATTACGGTTATTTCCATTTTAATTATGCGTCGTCCTGTTGCGTAATGTGTATTCTGATCGTAAGGGACACAACCTCCCCCTTCAAAAGCCGGAGCGATACTAATGGGGCGGCAGGAATCAAGCTTCAATACGCCAATAGTTTAGGTAATTTCTTTTTACAGTGAAAATAATGGTATTTAAAAAAATTAAAAACATAAGCCCTGATTTATAGTTAGTTCAGTTAGTATGCAAAGTTTCATGATCTTATTTAAAGTATTTTATGAATAACAGCGGTTTATTGTTCAGTTTGGAGGTAACTTTGGATTTTTTTTCTATCGAGAAAATTTTACGGAATCGTGTTTTCGTCTAACATAATCCTTAACATTAATCCTCAACTTTACCATATATTTATTTCAAAATTAATGCTGTAATACTTTCGGCATAACGGAGGATCTTGCTAAGCCATTTGAGGTTATATTTCCCCTTAACATTAGAATTGGCGGAAACTAAGGACGAGTATGTACTTAGTGTTTGGACTATTTTTTATGTGACGATTGAATATAATATAATATCACGTTATACACGTATAACTCGACGTCTAGTGCAAGTTAAAAAGAATCTACTAAACCATATCATCCAGTGGGTGTCGTAAGAGGCGCAGTGAAAGGAAACATGAGATGAGCAGCAGCATCTTCCTGATAACATCTCCAAGTATGTAATAACAAACTGCGGCTAACAACCCGCCCACCATGCAACTATTACAAATATATGAGGCAACCTATAGAAGTGGACTATAGTCAACAGTGAACTTTAATAGGCTGTAATGATGAGATTGACGAGTAACTGGAAGATACGACCTTAGTTACAATTAGACAGAGGAAGGAAACATCATATTGCTCTAATTGTATAGTTGCAGCACGAATGGGTCGGCTCCACCGGGGAAGGACCACGCTCTTACGTAATACCAGCGTAAAATAGCAGCTCAATGCTGCTGTGTTTCGTATGGTGTGTGTAGAGAACCGGAGACCTTTTTTACTGAAATCGAGGCATTCCATCTTAGTTTTCAGGGGTGATAACGCATTTGCATTATGATTTTTAATTGATGATAAATGTGGGTCTATGGACCAGAGCATCCACTTACCATCAGATGGACTGTGTTCGTTGTGACCCTATGCTATAAAAAATTGGCAGGTTTGAGCTCAAAAGGACAAAAAGTGAAAGCTTTTTGCGACACCAACGTTGACATAAAACAAGAAAACTTTAAAATTAATCTTAAACAACACTTAAGTTGCATGAAGCTAATAAGTGTTTAGTTTCAAGTTATAAAGCTAACAACCTCACACAAAAGATTCATGGAACAGAGGGCTCTTCACTCGACGCATTCGCGTCTGCTAGTTGGAACAAAAGCATAGCTTGCTTGCGTCAACGCTGGGGTGGCTAATTAAAATGTATTGTGAGGTTCCCTCAGGCTCCATTCCTAAGACGTGAAGAGAAATCTTTGTTATAAGACTATTCATTACACGGAGCTTTTAAGAACTGCAACAATAACGACTTCAGGGATTTTAAATTCTGTGTTAGCTGAGTAACAGAATTTTATACGTGGTAGAGCTCCGTTGCATCCATAATAATATGGTTGTAGCACGAATAGGTCCGAATACCGGGGTAAAATAGCAGCTTAATGCACCTCCTTTCATCGAATAGTTTAGAACTATGACACCACTAACGAAATTGAAATTTTGATATAGGTAAATTCATGTCTTTGATTCGATCATAATTATTTGCGAAAACACCTCTAAAAATCTTTCTAGTTGAAATTACAACGAAATTACTTAATCTATATGCTTGGCAATCACTCAAATATATTCATAACATCAATATTCATAATTTACTTGCTTATTATTTTCATCAACTTAAATCAATAAAAATATTTTAAGACTGACAATTTCTAAGCTGTCTTGTCGTAATAGTCGCGGGCGCTACGCAATTTTAGACCTTATGATGGTCTTTTTTTAAGTTTTTATGGAAATTATGTATTCATTCGGATCAGTCCGGCGATAGTTCGGAGCCATTTTAAACGTTCATTTTCGACGTGTCGCCTTAATGCTGCTGTGTTTCGTATGGTGAGTGTACAGAACCGGAGACCCTTATTACTGGATGTGAGGTATTTCATGTTGGTTCTCAGGGTGACAACGGATCTACATTTTGGTTTTTAATTGGCTTGCCACTGCAGGAATGTTTTAGCCTAATCAAGCTAGGGAGGGAGATTAAAAAGAAAGTGAGACCGTAAAAATATACCAAATTCTAGGTTTCTTTGTTTTAAACGCAGGTGAACTTTGTGGGAATAAGTCTTTTATTTTATAGGATAGGGTGACAAACGAGCACACAGTCCACCTGATGGTAAGTGTTTGCTGCGGCCCATAGACATCAACATCTATCCTCGATTACGAATCAAAATGCAGATGCGTTATCACCCGTGAGGACTAAGATGGAATGCCTAGTTTCCAGTAAAAAGGGGCACCGGTTTTCTACACTCACCATACGAAACACAGCAGCATTAAGCTACTATTTTACGCTGGGTTTCCGTTAGAGCGTGGTCCTTCCCCGGTCGAGCCGACCCATTCGTGCTACTATACTACTCATATAACTGCAGTATGGCTCTAACACGTATAAAGGAGAGAAAGTTAACTAAAATAGAGTATTTTCATTAATTCGTTTATTATAGCCGAACCAAAGTCCACTAAACCTAGATATATAATAGAC